TCAACTTAACTAGAGACAAAAAAGGTATCTGCGTCAGCGACAAGTCCCCATCTTTGCCTTCCAATCTTCTTTTGCTTGATTGAATGGTGGATTACTTTTTTAGTGGCCGTCGCGTTTAGTTCCATTTGCTCGGTCGGAGCCCCGACTTCCCGAGGGCCATTTTATGCATCTCCCCCACTAGTCACCGGACCTCCACCTGCTGATATTCCCGAGATTTTATGCTGATGCTTGTCCAGATGCGGTAGACGGTGGTATTTACTATTTACAGTATCCATTAACCTATTAATAATATCTCCTTCTGGTAGATGATAGTAAGTCGTTGTTTGGTTGTCGCAGTTCACGAAAGACTACGGCAATACTCAGCAATAATCGCACAAAGTCTCTGCAAAAGGAAGCTTATCAGATATCTAACTGGTACAATTTGCAGTACTCTGTTACACTGCAGGTCAATAATAACAAACGATAAGTCCACCCATACATACTATCTCGTACATAAACTACGAAGATCTTACCTACGATCAGCACTGTATGAACCGGCCCTCGCTCGAATTTTCAAGAACACCAACAATAATTGTTACCTCATTGCATGGGCTACCGATTCTCCCAGGGTAGCAAATACCTTTGTAAACCGGGAGTTATAATAATTGATTCAGTTATTTAGGGGCGAAACTTACTTATGAGTCACAACAGTCATACTCCAAAACTGAACCTTCAATGGATGATGGTGATGATGCTTCGGATCTGGTTCTAGAACCACAGCGCGTAACCTCCTCAATCTTCCCTGCTGAAGGAAGAGACAAGAGCCCTACCAATCGTATTACGAATACGACGCCAGCTGTGTATGGCTGAAGGGCTCTAGTCTACTTAATACTTACTACTAGTAGTAGTAATTGGCGGGGTTCCGACACAACTCCGCCTGAAAAAAAAAATCGACTGAGAGTACGGAGAAGATTAGCTTTAATTTACCGAAGACCCGCATGGGCTTTTCTGGGTACCGAAGTGAAGGCAAAGTAGTCTACTCCGTCCCTTGTATGACTATCTAATATCTAGACCTGCTAGGGCACGAGTTAGATAGATTCATGGTGGTAGGCTGATAGCATTGTAGGTAGCAACCTTGAGCTACAACGACGCAGGCTGGGGCTGCCATTCATGCTTCGACAGTTAAGCTAGTGGAATCTGAGACTTGAGAAGCCCCAATTTTTTGAACTTTACTCCATACACATTGAAAATGGATGGATACTTGACATAAGGAATTCAGGGGCGGGTACCTTTTCCTGGTGCATTCCAACACTCCAATGAATATGTGATCTACATCAAAACATGCCGCACCAGATGCCTTTGTTTATTTTCGCTAACAGCAGGCATCTACTAGGTACGTATTCTTCATCATGATATAATCCCTCTGATGTTGTCCATCTTAGTGATGTTTCAGGTTCCACCGAACCAAGGGCCATGTGGGCGAAAGGATTGCAAGTTTGCGTGGATGTCATCGAAATGGCAGCCTAATTAGCAATATTGGTTTGGCTCGTGTGTGCCTGAGACAAAGGTTCTTGAAAGGATCTTTGTTGTATTCTGCAAAGAAGTCGGCGAGTCGGGGTCTCCGAGCACCGCCGCCCGCTAGATACTTCTTACCGATCGCAGTCGATGCCAGATTAGGCATATCGACACCATAAACTAACCGGTCCTGGTCCTTTGTGCCTTCTTCCATTGGTCCATCTGAAATCCTTGAATAGCCCGTTACCATGGACATATCCACTGCTACATGCTGATAGTATCTTCGCTACCACGTCTACTTTTGACTCATCTCCCACTATGTCTAGCTTCGTGTTCGGCTTACGAGAATTGACCTGTTTGGGTCCCCGACATGATTTTATTGAATCCTGCAGCTGTACTCTGTACGAAGTTATCATTTTTGTTCACCGCCTGTGATTTATCGTTTGGAATGTTAAATCTACAGTGTAATTTAGAACATCACGTTGGATTCCCAATATCGGTCAAACTAGGTGATATAGCACCTACTTATCTACTGTTTGCTATCTGATCAATAACCTGACGGGCTCGTTCTGGCCCGAATAGAGCAAGTTACTTTTTGGTAACGCCCTGACACCTAGCTACCCCAGCAACTGCTCAACTGTACATTGAACATTCCGAGCCTTTTGGATCCCTGAAGCGGCTCGGGACTTGCTAACCCCCGCCAAGTTCAAATACAGGGCCATGCACGCTATAAGGTATCTACGCTAGGCCGGAACATAGGCTTTCCGAACGAATCCCATGCATTCGTATATAATGTTGATAAGCTCATTTAATTGACTGGTCGACGGGAGGATGGGCGGCCGACGCCGATGTGAGGCAGCAAACAAGACGCTTTCATTAATAAGTCAACCGTTGTCTATGATGCGTGGAATCGCTAAGGCATAGGCTCCCATCTACAAAGTTTGTGGCTTGAAATAACCGGAGAATATCGGTATGACATCCGACCCATCAATGATACTCCCAGTTGTCAAATCTTGTTTTCTACAGTATGGTCCTGGCTCGTGAACTGAGCTTGTGACGCAACTTCCACACCTCATCAATGTAATGGACTCCCATGGTCCCGCGTTGTCTCGCCATCCAAGCGGGTTGTCTGCAATAGAACAATGTATTATTCTACGAGTATTCTGTACTGGGGATGTAACTGTGCAGAAGCGCATCTTCAGTAGCGTGAAGACTCGAAACCGGCTGGTTTTGTGCTCTTCATGTCTACTATCGACAGTCCAATTCTTCGAGGGGGTGTTACATTGTTATCGAGCAGCAAACGCGCGCTATCGCCCTCCCAAGCGCCGTGATATCCCCAGGGACATATCAAAGGGCAGACACATCACATTGTTCTTTAGGATGCTACGATAATGATTTTTACTGGAGCGCTTAGTATGTTGTAGCCACTGGGCGATATAACACGTGACTTGTAACTTCCCGTTTGGGGTTCAGTCACTCAGGGACAATACCACGATAAGTATTGCTCAAATACCATAGACATTGCAAACCTTCCCAGCTCAGCAATAGCACATTAGATATATCACAATATCGAATCAGAAGCAAAATACAAACATCTTATCCCCGTTCAAATCAAATCTCCCCGACTGGAACCACCAAGAAACGAAAATGATGGGGTACCTTCCGCCTTAGGCATAAATCACATGACCCCACGGAAGCGAAACGCTAAGCCCTGCCCGCACAAAAAAACTACCACTACTGAACGGCTTGACAGACGGTCGACAACCTCATCATCGCCAGTCCATACACTCAGCTCGCCGTCGCGACAAGTCTTCAAGATGCCGGTTAGCAGCCCTCCCTGTCATTCGAACGACCGTGAACCACTCCATTTTGTGCTGGAAATAAAAAATATGATTACGGCTACACGGAAGAGGGAAAAGTGGTCGGGATGATGAAGTTGAACAGCAGGCTAACGATCAACTCTCTTCTTTCAATATAGAGCCACAAGAGTTTCCGCACCAAGCAGAAGCTTGCCAAAGCTCAGAGACAGAACCGTCCTATCCCCCAGTGGATTCGTCTCAGGACCGGTAACACCATCAGGTAAATAAGACACCGTCACCTGTTCCCAATTTGCACGCAACCCATACAACACATCCCGCGAAGTCCTCGATGAGTCCCAGCGAAGAAATACAAAGAGCATGAGAAGGAAGAAATGAATATCAGCGAACGAATAAACAAGAGGAGGAATATTCAAGACGCAGCACCAGATGATTCGCCATCACACACCAAAACCCTCAGTCAACTAGTCGACCGCTGGGAACAACATCAAAGGACACAGCACAGCCCACATTCTACATCCATACACACAATTCTACCATAAATTCAAATCACCCGAATACTAACATATCTCTTCCCAACCCAGATACAACGCCAAGCGTAGGCACTGGCGCAAGTCCCGTCTCGGAGTCTAAATTCGTCCATTGGAGGAACCTTCCACACCAACCGACTTTTTCGATTCCGCCCCGAGAAATGTCTCTGTCCACCTGCTGCTACTTTCCCGGGGGAAAATGTTTCGTTCAGTTGCTGTGATACCGCTGCCAACAATGACAACAACAACTCTTGTGTGCCGCTACTGCTCGCGATGATACAAAAAATATAAAGAAACAAAAAATCCACTTGCATCATTATAGATTATGTTGCCTGAAATCAAAACCCGCTTTTTGAGATGCCCGTTTGATTCTCTATTGTTTTCCTTTGCTCTACTCTTTCTCTCGCTCTAAAACCCGACAAGTCAATTTAAGCGCGAGGGGAAGGAAGAGTGCATAAGCGGGGAGGGAGGGATAATGCTTGCTTTCTTGTTCTTCTCTTTTGATGGAGGGGTTTCTCAACTGGTCTTGTGGTGGTGCAGTGGTGCTTCTGCAAGATGTGTGTACACGAGCTGAAAGGAACGACAAAAAATCGAAAATTCATGATGGGTTAATGAGCAGCTTGAACGAAGATCTTTTTCCTATGTCTGTATATGATATGGTTTGTGTCGCTGTAGTCTTTCCGCGTTGCGTGGATTCGGGGTCTAGATCCTCCCCTTGTAGGCTGTATGTCTATAGACATTACAGTAGTAGTAACCAGTCTTGCTTGCTACATGATAACTAGTACTGGTATTACTATGCAAGCTATTACTAGCAGGAGAAGATGATTACAATCGCACTTGGAACAGAATAACTTTACAGCAAAGATATGCGCAATGGCGTTAACAGCATCAGTTAACCATGTACTACTTTAGAGCTACATCTATCCCCTGCTCATAACGAACGAATGGCAAGGGCCAAAGGGAAAAGAGAGATTGAGAAAGCAACCCGCTGACGTTAAAAGAATTGAGTAAAAAAGTAAAAGACTAGTAACTCCATGAACTGCAACCTGAGACCCAACGAGACCCGAATTAAAACATCACGATAGCTCATCTTCCTCGGCTTGCTTGCAATCAACAAGCCGTCGGAGTCAGCATAGTGATGTCATGGATTAACGCAGATTTAGCGGCTATGGCGAGTATAGTGTTAGCACACGCTCAGATGGTAAGATAGCGGGTGTTGGGTTTCCGTAAAAGACTTACTCCTCGGCCCACTCGTTCTCACGGCGGATCTGATCTTCCTCCTCGGGGGTGAAGTCGTTCTGGATGTTAAAGGTCTTGCGGATCTCTTCCGGAGACTTGCCCTTGATCATGTTTGCGACAGTCTTGCATCCAACATCCAGAAGACCCTTAATGTCGAGGTAGTTTGCGGCCTGTCCAGTTAAGCGCCAAGTTAGCAGGTGAGCTTATGTAAATAGTAGTTCGTAACACGTACCAGAATGATCTCGAACAACATCTCCTGGTCAACCTGGGTAAATTTCTGATCCCACTCGTCAATGTCGGTGGTCTTGCGGCGGGAGTCATCCTCCTCGCCAGTGCTGGGGGGGTCGTTCTTGTGGTGTCTGCACCATTCGATGACCTTCTTCAGAACAGCTTCGTTGACCTGTGTTTCGGTTGTGGTTAGCTATGGCCCCCAATGGTCCTTTTACTTTCACGGATAACTCACATTAGGGATCGGAATCTCCTCGTTGGCGTCACCCAGATCTTCCAGCATGTTCTTGATGAGGAGGGAGCGCTCGGCAACATCACGTTCTGTGTTTTCACAAATGTTAGCATATCTGCTCTAATCGTAACACAGACGGCGAGCGCGTCTGCCGAGCTCGAACAACCGCGTGCACTTACCACACTCAATGTGCACGCCGTCGCCACTGATGAAGGTCAACATGGGACCGGAGTAAGGAGCAGGTGTGTCGGCCATTTTGTTGAGGTGTATTAGGAAGTGTCTAAAAGATTCGAGTTCTTTGGGTGAAGATGTCAGCTCTCAGCACTGGAGTGAGTTGTGTTGTTGTTGGGTCAAAGGCCAGCGACGACGTTAAAAGATATGAGGGGTACCTGGGTGGGGGAAGACGTTTGCTTACTTTGCAAATCTAGCCGTGACAGCGGAATGTGAATGAGTTCAAGTGAGTTGGTTGTGAACAAGGGTAATGGGTGAACAAGCAGAGATATAGAGGAATATAAATATCCCAACCAGCGGTGGGAAAGTGAGGTGGATGAGAAAGTAATACAAAGGTTCAAATCTGGGGGTTGAAAGGGAAGGAGGTTGCTTGGGAGAGTTCCGAGACCGATGAAAGCGAAGAGCGATGAATGGCCCGGCGTTGAGGCTGACGAGGGTCCGGCAACCTCCTCCGTCATTCGCTGCTGCTGACTCCACCCGGGCGGTTGTGGCCTGGTGCTGCCTGAATGGATGGTCTTTCTTTCTTCTTTCGATTTCCTTTCCTTACTTACTTTACTTATTTACTCACAAGACAAGCAAATGAATCAGCAGAGTGAATACTATTACACAGTACTTTGTCACAAGAAGGGTATTACCTATTATTCTAGTACTCATTGACCTTTTCTTAAAACTTATGCCCATTGTGGCTTATTCGATCTATTGTGTTCATTGATGTGAATGAAGTTGACTAAAGACTATCAACTATACATCATCTGTATAGTACCTTCCACCAAGGTCCAACAAGCAACTGGTATTTTCTTTTGATCAGTATATACGATAACAAGGGTATTCCCTAGATGTCTCGCAGAAGCTGATCAAACGCTCTTCATCCTCTGGAAATTATCTAGAATCTAGAGTTTCCCAATGGAGGAAATCCCGACCGCTGCATCAACAACACGCCCCATCAGCATTCAACATTCCATCGATCGGTCGCACTAACTCTGGGGGTGCACGGATGCAGGAGTGGAAGGGAAAGGTCTCCAGTTGTTGCCAAGTTGGAGAATTCCCATCTACCTCAATGCTTGGATGTCAAAATTGCCGATAGATCCGTTCCTGAGGATCCTCGATGGGCTGTCTGACCCACCAGCACAAACCAGGACTGAACTATCAACGGAGTAATTTCACCCCAAAAGCCAATAGTTCCTGGCAGAAAAGAGTGATATCACCCCACGAACACGACAACAACCATCCTTTTCCCATCCACTCGGAGTCTAACGCTTCAATTTCTCGGGGATAAACATTTATCTCCAGTGCGCTTTGTTTCTCCTGGAATCTTACGTTTTGACCTTCTTTTCTTTTCTTTTCTCTTTTTATTTTTCCTCCCTCTCCCTCTATCGCTCTATAGTTGCTTTTGCTTCTATTGTTTTTCCCTTTTCCTGCTTCTGGATAGCCCGCCCTTCATGTCCCAACAAGTCATTCCTTAATTTCTCTTTCCACGTTCACCTCCATATAGATATATTCTCGGATGCAGGACGGCTACTAGTACTAGGCAACCGGCATGTACAGTATCCCCCAAAATCAGACTGGTCCCTTGTCGCCTTGAGATTCTCCGTGCTTCAACCAACTCCCCCAATCCCAAGCCATGTGGAGACGAACGTACCTGCTGCTGCTGGTGATCCGGGTGTACTTCGCACTGTCTCCAAGTTATTTACACCCGGATGAGAATTTCCAGGGCCCTGAAGTCTTTGCAGGTGAGTCAATTCCACTGAGTCGCACAGATTATTTCCATTCTCCCTTGCGACCTTGATCTTTTTTTCCCCGGGCGGTGCGACCGCTTGTGACTGGAGATGGCGCTCTTCCGACGCATCCCGCGCAGCGAAGCAGCCTTGTCCTCTCCGCCGCAAACCCCAAAACTACGTCGGAACTGAATGCGCACTGCTCACAAGTGATTCCCTAGGTCGCATTTTCTCCTATCCATCCCGCTTACCCTGGGAGTTCACCTCCGATAAGCCGATACGCAGCGTCTTCCCACTATGGCCGACTTACGACGTACCGATGAACCTGCTGAAGGGATTCTATACAGAAAGCGGAACACTAAACCCTCCGCCAGAGCTGGTTTACTATGTGTTGCGAGGGGTCATGTTTCTCTTGAGCTTTGTGCTCGAGGATTGGGCCGTCTATGAGCTGGTTCCCCTACCGCGCCATCGCCGCGCGACGGTGGTCCTAGTCGCATCCTCGTATGTCACCTGGACATATCAGACGCACACCTTCTCCAACTCCATCGAGACCCTGTTGGTCGCCTGGGGCTTAGTCTTGATTCAGCGCATTGTTGATAACAAGGTAGGTTTATTAGTGCGGAATCCAGATAATGCTAGCTCCTGGCTAATCACTGCTTATAGCGACGCTCGTCCATCTTCGCATGCGCCGTGCTATCTCTCATCGCCGTCGTGGGTGTTTTCAACCGCATCACTTTTCCGGCCTTCCTCCTCGTCCCAGGGCTGCGGTTACTGCCTCATTTTTGGCGCAAGTACGTATTGCGCAGCCTTCTGGTCCCCCCTCTTTTCACCAAGCCTAACATCTTTTAGGCCTTTGTCCTTGCTTTCATTTGCTGGGTTCGGTCTATTCTTCTTCTGCATCGCTGTCCTTGTCGATACAACATTCTACAAACCTTCTGCCTCGCTTTGGGACGCTGTTCACGCACCTATCATCACGCCCCTCAATAATCTGCTCTACAATAGCGACAAGTCCAACCTAGCTCTCCATGGCCTTCACCCTCGGTATCATCACTTTCTAGTCAATCTGCCGCAACTCCTGGGGCCAGCGTATGTGGCGATAATACTTTCTTTGAGCAAGTCGAAAGCAATTCAGTCTTCGCTAAAGAACATACGCGCCGTCTCTGCCATATCAGCAACCGCTATGCTTTCGTTGTTTCCGCACCAGGAACCCCGGTTCCTGCTTCCATGCGTCCCGCTCCTCCTTAGTTGCCTCCGCGTGCGTAAATCGCGTCTTTTCTTGGCGGCCTGGGTGATTTTCAATGCCGCTCTAGGTTTCCTCATGGGAGTGTACCATCAGGGTGGTGTAGTCCCTACTCAACTTGCGATCCCCTCAATCGTCTCCGATAGCTTCTTCGAGGCCGGTGCCAGCGACAATGCCCAGAAATCTGCTACAATACTCTGGTGGAAGACCTATTCCCCTCCATTGTGGTTGTTAGGAGATAACACCAGCACCCAGCTGGACATCGAAACGCGGGACTTGATGGGTATCTCCGGGCCCGAAATGGCCAGCGAGCTCGAGAAATTGGTGCCACAATGCCCGAACCCCGACGACAGCAACAGCTTGGAGAATCCCGAACGCTCGATCTTCGTGGTCGCACCTAAATCCGCTACTTTCCTCGACCGGTATACAGATCCCTCGCCCGACAATTCAGGTCTCACACTGCACGAGCTGTGGACTTGGCGCAAGCATCTCAATTTGGATGACCTGGACTTTGGCACTGATGGCATCCTCCCTACCTTGAACCGAGTGATCGGCAGACGCGGATTGTCCGTCTGGGCCGCACGAAGAAGTGGTTGTGTTTGACAGATTACGCTTTGAAACATCAGATGACGTTGAAGCTCACTCGGTCAGCTGGCAGCGGGAAACAACTTAGATCGGGCTTTCGACGACGGAGACAACCTTCACACCTTTTTTCTTCTTCTTTTCTTGGTCATTGTTTCTTATCCCTTCTTCTTGGCATTTGGCACACCCGTTCTTTGATTAGCCCCTTCTCATACCATACATCCTACCTACCTACCTATCACCAGCAGACTATACTACATACCCATGCTACTATATCCCATTATATACCCCACCAACCACATGAAACATCTTCCCATTCTCATCCTCTCAGCGAAAATCTCTCTACTACTAGTCAATCGGTACAGATTCTACACGCTTAGTAGTACCCTATTACTGCGTGCATGTACCCACCATCCTATACCCATTCCTATATACCCACATATTATCTCACACCATCACGACAATAGAATATACCCCCGCTACTAAAAAATTCATAATCATGTCTGAACTTTTTTTCAGTTCGTAAAGATATATACTAACCCCGAGAGAGCCAAACCTTCTACTTAAAATAATATATAAACACCTATTATTACGCAACCAATCCTACGTACTACTAATATAAACCACCTAGATCAACTAGTACCTAATTAGTAACCGTTGACATAACATAGCACAACATTCCAGGATAGTGATCCCGCATGCTGGCACCCAGTCATCCGTGCCAACCTACTAGTAGTATGCATCATGTCATCCGATCAAGCGCAGATCGGGACAAACAGACAGTCATGTCGGTCGGTCATGCGTTCGGGATCCTCAACCACCCTTACTTCCTACCTTCCTATCTCCTTCTACACCTCTAGCTATAAGTAGTACTACTCGTAGTTTGTACTGCATGAAACAAACAAATCGGGAGTCTTGACTTTTAGCAACTCCGAATCAATAGATGATTCCTTGATATAGATAGGTAGATAGATTGGGGACGTAGAATGACTGATGCAAGGGGGAGAGAGGGAAGGGGGCGCAACGCCTTGTTTTCGTTTCCATTAACTAGATACATGACTGGAAGGTCATATTGAAGAGAGTCGGAGAAGGAGATGGAATAATAGAAGTGAAAATAGAGAAGAAACATGAGAATATCGCGAAAATGGAAGCATCGTCCGTCCATCAGTGACACTGGCTTACTAATATGTCGTCCAGTATTAAGACGAGCGTGTGAAGGATAAGTACTATCGGGGGGTGGATCCGACAATAAAAGACACGCTCCAGCCTGGCCTAGGGTTCGCAAGCCAGAGACATGAGGTTGAAGCCATTTTCTGATCTACGTAATCGTCGACTCTCATAAGATCTTGAGGCGAAGGGGAAGAGGAGAAAAGTGGGTACATATCGACGTTAATTAGGAAAAGAGAACATGATTCGAAGCAGTGAGCAGCATCTCAAACACATGGGAATACACGGGCCGTGCTTGAATCACATATCCTCGGGATCATCAGGGTTTTCAAACAGATAGTTAGCTGCGAGCTCTTCGTTCTTGTCGCAAGCGAAATAAGCTTGAATGACCAAGTCCCGAGAGAATCCAAGCCGGCAGAGCTAGCAAAAACATGTCAGCTACGTTTCCACAAAGGATGATGGGAATATGGTATACGCACGCGTTCAATGGCATCTCTCTCCTCTTCCGTGACGTGAATTTGAGTCGTACCAGGGGGCAGCGCCTCGTCATCATCAGGTTCCTCACTCAGGAGCTGCAGGAATTGTTCCTCATTTTGACCAATGAGCTGCGCGATTTGGGGGTTTCCAGCGGCGACTTGTTGAAGGATGGGCTCGAGCATTTGTGGTTGTTGTTGGACCAACTGACGAAGCTGCTGGAAGTGGGGATTATTGCGAAGAAATTCGAGACTCGGGAGTTCAGCGCCACCAGCACCTCGAGCTCCTCGAGCTCCTCCCTCCTGGCCACCAGCCTGAGCGGCAGCCTCGAACAAGTTGACCGGTTCGTCGTCACCAGCGGACGGAGCGCTTTCGGGAGCAGCAGTCTGGGGTGCGCTAGCGGCAGCGGCTTGCTGTTGCTGTTCCTGTTGAATGTTCTCGGGGATACCCTGCTTAAAGTCAGCGCAAAATCGGGCAACCCATGGCCGGATGCCAGCGCCATGAACTCACATTCAAAAGGTATTCAATAGCACGGTCGGGGTTGAAAAAAGCAGCCCTCATTGCACGGTTAACATCACTCCGAGCGAAACCCATTGCCTCCATCTGAGCCACGACAGCTTCGCTCTGAGTGCCACTCAGCAATGCGGAGGGGTCATTGAATGCGGAGCCCTGTGCCTGGGAGGCCCCCGCGGCGGCCGGGGAGGGAGTCGAAGGAACAGCCGGTGTAGTGGAAGCGGCAGAAGGGGCTGGGGCGGGAGGCGCAGCAGGGGTCGAGGTGACTGCTCTGGATGGGGTGGAGGGCGCTTGTGACAAGGTGCCGGAGGAAGTAGCCTTGGGCTACACCACGAGAAATTAGTCCTTCATCCAAAAGGCATGTTTCCTTAGCCTGAGGGCTACGTACCTTAGAGACCATGCACACTATGAACCCCTTCTCCTCGATGTTGTATGACTCGATCGTCTTATCATCTTGAAGGATCTTTCCTGTTGGAGGGAAGAACGGTCAGCGCTGAAATTACAGCCTAACATAGTGGCAGAGGCCATCGAGAATGCTGCAGCAACTGTAAGATGCAAAAGATACTTTACTTACCAGAGTAGATGAGCTTAAGCTGAGGAACCTCCCATCCCTTCTCCTTGGAGATCTTTTCCTTCACTTGCCCGACCTGTCGGATAATTCATTTAGCCCCGCACTGACGCCGGCAAAGTCACGACGCTGAGAGAAGGGAACCGCCTACCGTCTCCGAGGGCTCTGCATCGATTACAAACTTTTGTTGTTTCAGGTCCTAGAGGAGGGAGAACGAACATGTCAGACTCGAGGACAAGCAGAGGGGGTGGGGTAGAAATCACGCGTACCTTGAACGTGAGCTTCATCTTGCGCCACCGGATGGAAGAGAGATGGCTCGGTGGGGTGGTATTCTGGGGAGCACGGAAATGTAGAAGAAGGAATACACGGGGGAGCTAGAAGCACCTGTTGATGTAGTTTGATGAGGGGGAGGGAAAGAGGGGGGAAACAATCAACGGTCTGGGAATAAACCGGAAGAGCAGCAAGCGATGATTGATGATGACAATCATGACGCCGGAGCGAGAGAAGGAGCTGGCGGGAGGCGGTCACTCACGGTCTTTCCTTCCCCAGCCACTCAGCCACACAAAACCCCTCGCTAGTTTGGTTTTGTTTTGTTTGGGAAGGTACTACTACTCAGCCACTCTTTTTCACATAGTAAAGGGTAGTATACTATATCTATCTATCTATCTATCTACTTAACTTTCAATGTGATGGCCATAATTGGAGGGCTAAATCAATGCTCCGAAAATATCACTATTCGCTCGAAATGCTCCCCAGAATATTGTAGGCAGCCAGTTCCATGAAATAGGGTGTATTGAAAGTAAAGTACTAGTTTTGTACCTTGAATCAGGCAATTGCTGTCACTAGTACTATTAGCCATTCGGGAAGTTATCGATGGAAATATATCTTCGTTCAATGCCGACCACCAGTCCTGAATCAAGAATTGACCACAGCAATACTAGTACTACTAGTATTTATTTGTTACCATCCACTTTACATATTCAATACTATGACTCTGCAATACAGAAAAGTATCATCTGATTACTATTACTACCTATTACTTCAATACGCGACAGTCTTCCTTTTCCTGCCCGCTCCACAAAGCGATGATGCGCCCAGTTAACTCTTCTCGTTCTGCGCCGCTTTCTCTTCTTCCCTGATATGATGAAACCATATACAATAATTCTGTAACCTATACGGAGTTGCAGTGCTTGGTACTTTGGATGCCGTGCCACCCGTGGCAAGGGGTATGGCCCTATCGACCTGTCGTATAGATGTATCACATGGAGTGGTTGATGCGGTGGAGAGAACTACTCTTGCCAACACGAAGCCATCAGGAATCCACAATTAGCTGCCGCCTTTGGGGGGGAATTCTCACCCCATGAACTGCACAGATCAATAAGTCTCCATATAATCCCATCTCTACTGTACTGATTGCTTGCTCTTCCAGCTAGAATCATTAGATGAGAATTCCAATCTCTTTTACCTCCCCTCCCAAACCATTGTTTAGGGGGAGCAGCTGCCTCCCCGCTTCTCATCCTTCACAAGTAACTATAGCGGCCCCTCCCGGGAACGGAGTGATAGATCACAGCTCTGCTTTGCAGGACTTGGGCGCTCCCCAAGTCCCATCCAGGAATCCAAACAGACGATCTCCCAATTAAGGCTTTCCCGGAACTCTGGAGATCCTCCCGGCCGCTGCGTACAGCAAAGCCAGCCTGATCTGACAAATTCTCTTCTAGACCTGTTCCATATGATGAGGATACCTCTGAGGTATGCCATGCAGAGTTGGCGATTAATTCGTCACTCCCCTTTGGTGGTGAACTTGAGGTTCAAGCTCAGAGTTTTTGTCTTTGCATCGTACTGGGGGATAATCATACGAAGATTAAGCATGTAGGTTCATGAAGGCTGCGTGGGTGACAGTTTCTGATGTTAAAGGCATGTCATCCCTGGCCGTTGGAAGTCATCGCCAACCCATGAGCTTCCCTTTGACGTATATAAGTACGAGTCAGCTTGACAGTGATCATGAAACCCTTTGTTAATATGTTTTCTTTTTTTCGTTTTCCTTCCTGGTGCCCCTACCTTGACTTGACACGACCACCCCCTTCCCTTTCGTGGCAATCGAGAGGGGCCCAGTTCCCCCAATAGCTGGCAAGACTAGGGCATCGAGGGAATGGTCGAGAAAGGCACCTCGATCACCGAGCCTACCGATCCGCACTAAGATTGGTATGATTCCCATCTGCTCCTCTGGCAGCCCCTGCTAGTCTAGTGAGATCGAGACCCTGGAGGCGTAGATTGCTCGGCTCCAGGTCCATTCGCCATTGCCATTCGACCGCTGCTCGAAGTAGTCAACGCCCCCCCTGTCATGATAATCCTGGTAAATGCATACGCGCTTTTTCTTCGAACAATCCATGCGTCCTTATTCAATTATCCTCGGGGAACCCATTCCCCCCGTCTTTCCCTCTTTAGCTTAATTGATTGACTCTCGTTCTTTCCGGGTTGTTGGGTATTTACTCCGGCTCGACCCTCGTCCACCATTGTCCCTCGTTTGATCATTGCTAACTCGTCACGCCCACGATTTTGTCCGCCCGATCTTTTCCATCGAGACATTATCACACTGTCCTTCCATGCTATCATATTGCCTCTGTATTTCCCAAGGCTTACCCTCAAGTCCAGAACGCTCTCGACGTCACGGTCAGTTCAAACTACGACGGCCGACTTGGCTTGGTACCAACTGCCTCAATCGCTTCGGCTGAGCTGTGCTGCTAGACCCGACATCTTTGAGCCCCTTAATTTGAATATCTGAGAAGACCCTTAGAGATATTCTGGCATCTGCACCTGTCCCTCAAGGGCGATCGTTGGACACTGTCTTTACCACGAAGTCCGCAGCATCCATCTTCCTTCGTATAGTCCTGACCCCCCTTTTTCATGTCTCTTAGTATGCCCAGGGCCTCCCCGGCCCGGATCCTGGGTGGCACTACTTTATTATCGACGTTCATTACTACTATCCTCGATGGCATGTGCTTCACCTTCTCCAGATCCCTCTCATCTCGCGTGTCTTCGGTGGAATCGGCCATTGTCAGCTTGGGCGCAGTCAGCTGTCTTGCGCTTGTATCCTTGATGCTCCTCTGGATCAAAGATATAAAAAGTGAGCCTATAGAGCAGTGCAGAAACCACCGAGCCATTGCGTATGGGCTTATTGCTGCATATTTATCGGTGGCCACTGGCGTGACGGCAGGTGGGATAGCATGGAGTGCAGCTCAGTCCGTGTCAGCTAAGAAGTCGGTCACAAGGCATCAGTCCTTGCTAGTGGCTCGCTGCACCATATGGGCCATTTCGGTCCTCAGCCAAGGCATACTAGGAGGCTATTTCCTGACAACCTTGGCGAGACGGGAATCCACTAGCAAATGGTCGCCGCCATCCGTATCCCAAGAGCTTGAGGTGCTTTCTGATAAAGCAAGCGTGAAAGACGCAAGCACCGTGCAATCATCCTCTCTGGCTAGCGAGTCTCAGCGACCATCCGCTGATTTGAAGACTAATTCCGACACTGTCCCTCCGATCCAACCGTCTGTTTCAAATACAGAGTCCCAGGCCTCAAATCGCTATTCTGGACGCACACTATTCCAGCATGACTCCAAGCAAAGCTCCTTTGACCTGCAGCGATCATACGTACCTCATGGAGACAGCACAGCCACGCCGGCCACAGTAGAGGAGCATCCCGTTGACCAAGCCGTCAGTGCAGCAGTTGGGGCCAAGCTTCGCCCCGAACCCCCCAAAATTCGACGAAGCTATTCCGATACAAAGCGATCTTTGGATGGCTTGGTTCGCCAACCCTCATCAGCACGGTCATCACCCGCGACTTCATCAACACAGTTGGTGACTCCCGCCAGACCTGCCCCTCCCAAGCTGAAACTCCCCGATGAGAGCTTCATTCATCCGTTATTCCGCTCCGACAGCTCATCGCCGCCCCCGACCCCAATGCCAGGTACCACGGTGATTGCCTCACCCGCAGCCGGTCAGACCATTTCCGTGCAGGCCTTGAACCGGGTCAGATCCACTCGTTCGCTTCGATCTCAAGCACCACGCAGCAGATCGCCGCTGTTCGATCAACCGCTTAACGGGATGGATCGGAACACCGAGTCACCGGAACCCAGCGGTCGAGGATCCCCCATGCCCAGCTTCATCATGGCGGCAGATGTGCGGAGCAGTATATCACGGTATGAAAAGAAGTATGACTTGAACGAATCACCGGATGAGAGCTAGCTGGGCCAAAAAGGGGGGCGACCGCATTGCAGGTTTGGGCTTACATGTCTTTCCTTTGTTCTTTTTTCCTATGTTGATAGATATCCTGGACATAGCGTTTGATGTAGTTAGCAAGTACTTTCCTAGATAAGTATAGATCATATAATGCATCATGGCTCTCTACTGAATGGCAGGACATAGTTAGATATAGGATAATGCTGACAGCCAATAGTACATAATATGTGGCTTGTCAGTGCTAGTTTTCTACTGGGGGTAAAGTTGAACCTTTGAGGTATCGAAATACATCATAGGAACGAATCATAATCGAATTCTAAGTAGAAGCCGCTATTCTTGACCATGAAGAAGATCAAGGTGATATGTCTATATAGTCAAATACAACATCCAGTGACAGCATAAGAATCAACACGATCAATTATACCTCAAAATATCCACCAGAAAAAGCCAAGCATAAATGCCTGCATCATTCCTACCCACGGAGCCCGATTCTCTCCCTCAGAAACCTGATCCATCATACGGTGAACTTGGATCAAGTTGCGGCCTTTTTTATTTCGTGCATATCCATGCAGATGTACACCTGTCATGGGCTAGACTCTTACGAGGCGCAGATTCGTCATGAATTGGCGGATTTCTGGTTTATGATGTTTTTTATTTCTTTTTCAATTTTTTTCTTGTCTAAAGTTTGTTTCGTGTTACGAGGTAAATCAGAAATTGAGTAACTGGCTGATACTCTTATTTTTCTTGTCTCCCGGGGAAGGACTTTTTAATTGAGAACGTAAGCGGGTATTGAATCATCTCTCATCACCGTTCTCGCCCGTATTGTGAATCGGGTAGAGATGAAACAATTGGGACATATTAGGCTTAAGGGTCGGAGTGACGAAGTTAAGGAGGGATAAGGGGGGAGGGAGAAGAAAAGGCTTGATGATGGTGATTGATCTGTGTCTATTTTTGACAATATATGAGAGGGAAGGTGAGATATTGACAGGGGATAGAAATGGCTCTAGGTGAGGAATTGAAGAACTTGTACTACTGTCTCGCATCATGAAGAGAA